GGCAGCAGCAGCAGCACCAGCACCAGCACCAACCGCGGAGGCGCCTGCTGTCACACCAGCACCAACCGTGGAAGCAGCAAAGACTGTAGCACCCTCACCAGCAGCAACGCACACTCCAGAAGCAGCAGCGCCTACCTGTGAGCCTCCAGCGCCATTGCCACCGGTGGAGGTTCCCCCCTTTGGATTATGAGATGTTGATGAGTAAATCTGTTGTCGTGGAAGACATCGTCCAAAAGTTCTTCAAAGATGGTGGTGACATTGACCATGAGTGCAACAAAGCAAAACACAATTTGCACTTCAACAAGTTTGAGTGTGAGATGAAGAAGACTGCTGAAGACTTTTGGCGGTTTGGTCACGAAGGATCTGGAGAGGATGGAGATGAAGGCGATCCTCTCGCTGACCTTTCTGACTGGTGTCACTACTTCCGCAGAGCAGTTCTAGCAGAAGCTGCATCTTCAAAGTGTTCTGTGCAACAAGTCATCGCCGCTTCATGGACAGCGCAACAAGAGCCAGCAGCACCAGCAAAGGCAGAGGCATTTGCAGCAGCATCAACAACAGCAGCAGCTGAGTTGAAGGAGGTTAGAGAGTTTCCCTCGGAAGCAGAGAAAAAGGCTTTGGAGATGAAGTTGAGGGCTCAGCTGATGCCAAAGGAAGTCCAAAGCTCAAAGCTCTCTGCGCCAAATGCCCGTTTGTCGCAGGGGAAGGCAGCTGTGGACACAAGCATCGCAGAGGTGCATCAGAGCGATGCTGCAACCTTCATGGCTCTCTCCTCAACCAGTAGCATGGGCGACACTCCATTGCTGGACCGCGCCGCAGAGATTGCCAAATTCCAAAGTCAGACTGCAGCAATCAGTAATCTACCTGAAGATTGTGAGAGGTCTGAGGGCGAAAAAGCTCTGCTTGAGATCAGAGATTCCATGCTTCGGTCAAAGCTATGTGAGGCAGGAGTTGATGTTAAGGAATCTGATGCATCAGACTTGCCATTCTTCACACCAGCGTCGGTGCCACTGCCACTCCTAGCCAAGGCCAGCAGCCAGATCCCAGATCCTGCTCAAACAAAGAACAAGCCAGAGGCTGCAGCAGTTGAGAAACCGAACCATGCCGCAGCCGCAAAGCCAAAGCCAGTGGCTACTCCAACACGAAGGCACCGGCAGAAAGCTACTGTGCTGCCACCAGAGCCAGAAGGCAATGACAAGAAACAGCAGGAAGAAAGCAATACGCACACAAACACACAGAAGAAACAAAAGAATGAACAGACAGATCAGACTTCCAAGAAACAGAAGACAGACAAAGAGAAGAAGAAGAAGGAGAGCAATGCAAAGAAATGAACATGAGGAGCAGGGGGGGGTGCGGGGCAGCTGTAGATGCTGTAGTCTATAGATTTGAATGATAAACAAAGGGTTTCAAATCGAATTGTACTTTGTTTAACTTATAGCACGCTATTTTTTGGGTTGGTTTAAGCCAACCCCCAATCCTGAAGCTTAAACAAAAAACATCTGCGCTCTGAGGAGCATGCTCTCCCAGCGGCGCTGTGGCATGGTCGCTTTTGATTTTGACGTCGACGTCGATGATTGAGCTCTATTCTTTGAACGTGTACAGTGTTCAAGGTGAGGCTATTTTTGGCTTTGGGTTTGCCAGTAGCCGTGAGATCAACTTCATCCTTCGTTCCAATGCTACAGTACCAGTGTTTCAATCTTAGAGAGTGCAATCAGCACACAGTGGACAGGACACGACATACCTTGAGAATGCAGCAGTGAAAAAGAACGCTGACACTGTGTGAGCTCTGTGTTATTTCTGCAGCTGTGCCTTGTTACCCTTAAAGGACCTTTGTGTTAAATGGCAGCTACTACCATAATCCCAAGTTTCTTAGTAGAATTTGTATATCTAAAGTATCATCAACTTGATCAGGACCAAGTTGACAGAAAGGTATATAACAATATTTTCTCGCTCCTCTGCTACTTTAAAAACACAATTCTGCGACTTTTCTCCTGCAAACTGGTTGTTTTAGGTTGTATGCAACTTTTTGTTCCAAAATAGTTCTGCTGTGTTGCACCACCACGTGCACAAATCCATCCGTAAATCGAAATGATCTCAACGGACTCAGTAGGTCGAAAGGTTAGTGATGTTGTGGGGAAATACATTCAGGGGGTCAACACCCGTGTGTCCAAGTTGGCGGACATCAAGACTCGCATTGAGAGTATTCCTCCAAGTGATCGAACTGAAGTCATCAAGAAGTCAATGCCTTATTTGCATCGTTGAAACATATGAATCATTGTGCTTTTGAAGCATGGGCCCCGACAAGATTTCAAACCTTAGGTTGGAGGAGCGGGTTGATGACACCTTCGCCAAGCTCGATGCGTGCAACGAGACAATGAACAAAATCTATAGCGAGGGTGCTAGTGAAGGCTTCAGTGAAAAGCCACCTAGCTTCACTGCGTCCTGTTGGTTTCTACTATTGTTTTTGTGTTTTTGAGATGCATGGTTGCTTGAGGGGTTGGACCCTGTGCGCCAAGGCATGAAGGTTTGCTGAAGGATTCTTACAAGAATGTCAGACGCTTGTGCCCTGACTTGCAAATACTTGAAATACTTGCCTGGTGAACACACTTGAGCCCCCAAATGTTGCCACTGTTACTGCTAAGGGCCATGGAGAGCTTGCAGCTTGAGGGGCGAGTGAAGGCTATGAAGCTTCCGCAGCCCAAGTCCCGTGCTGCGAAGTCAAAGGCTGCAGCAAAGTCTGATGCGCCTGCGCCTGCGCCAAAAACAAAGGCAAAGGCAAAGGCTGATGCAAAACCCACCGGCTTCAAATGAAGGTGAAGGGGATGGCCAACAGGCTACACCTCCTCGCCGTAGGGTTCGGGCCAAGGGGTCCTAGAGACATGCCTCGTTGCTTTGGCTCAATGGGGATTCTGGCCAGGCCGTGAACAAGGCTTTGACGATCTGATGAACCGTGCCTATGCTGACTTCAAGTGGTCCTGCAAACATGAAATGCGAGCGACCCCGCACCTTAAAAGCTTTACTCGTCAACTTCTACACTTTGCAATCAATGCTGCATTCCCGTGGTTTGGTTGCAAGGGTGGGGGCACTATGCTACTTGCGCGTTGGCTTCTTCGAGTTCTTAGGCATGGTGTGAAACTAGAGGACTCTGATGAGAGGCCCAATGTCACCCTGAAGTCAGTGGCTAGTGATGAACGAAAGGTTATTGTTGATGCAATGCATGATGGCTGCAGGGCTTCTCTGCTCTTCTTCAGGCTTATTCATGAGGATCCACTCTGGCGCAACCGGCAGGATTGCCAAAAGATCATAGATTGTGTGAATGAGTTCAGTGCTTCCTATGCCTTCTTAGCATCGAGGCTGATGAGGGATTTCAAACTATGCAGGTTCCACATGGAGCCATCGCTTCATCAGTATCAGCATCTTGCCCACCGGCTCGAAGTTTGCTTGGATGTCTCTCAATATGACAGGTTTCTTTCACCGGCCATCTTTTTGTGCGAGGGTGGCGAAGACTTTGTGGGGCGGGTATCTCGCATATCCAGGAAAGCCCCTGCCCGAAATCTTTGCTTGAGAACAACTCAACGGTACTTGATCAAATTGTACCAACTGTGGTTTTCCAATTAGGACCATTCATTGTGCAAAAGCATTTAACATGTATGGCGGGACAATCACGCCAAAGGTGGTTTCAAAGACTTGAAGCTCGCGTGAAAAAAAGCTGAACTATGCGTGATATCCAGCCCATGAACTTGTCAGTTCAATGCTAGAAGCCCAATTTCAGCCAATGGCTGAAAATTCAGCCTTTCCTAGCGAGGGCTAAAAAAATAGGTCATTTTGATTTCCAGGCAGGTATGTATGTATTGGAGGGATTTGAAGGGTATTTTCGAAGTGAAAAGGCAACCCAAATGGACCGATCTGCAGCCAAAACGTCGACCTGTTCTTCCTTGAGCGACGCACATGACGTTTTTGTGGTGGCTCCGGTGGGTGTTGCAGATGTAGAAGTCGGCTCCTGCCGAAAAAGTGAGGGGAATCCGACTTTTGACTTTTTCTCAAAAACTGTAGAGGAATCGGTTCATTTTCAGGGGCCAACTGATCGGGTTCTCTCTTAGGAAAGACAAGGGCTATCCGTGATGGCCTGGCCGTGCCGGCTGCCCTTTCTTCGCCGCCTGGTCTGGACCTTGCCTGGGTCTGTGTGTCGTGCTTGGCCGTGCCATGGGCCCTTGTCTTCTCGACCGGACCTTGTCGCTTTGTCCAGGTGCCGTGGCGCCTTTTCCTCGTCCGGTCTTGTGCGGCCCTGTATGTCCTGCTTCCAACCACGTGGTTGGCCCTTTAAACATCACCTGGTCTGGGCATTGGCCGCGCCAGTGTCCCTTTTCTCCACCACGTTGTTTCTTGTGGCTCGCAAGTTTACACGATTGCTGGCAGACGATTTTTAGGGAAGGGCGAAGGGCAGGGAGTGCCAATCGTTTTCTGTTTACATGCTGTGCCCAAACAGCTGGAGGCTATAGGAATATAATTGCATATACATTGGAGTTGAAGGAACTAACGCCAAAACATCTTCTGAAGTTGTTTGGGTTCTAAGAGCCTATGCAGGAAAAAAACATCAGCTTGTTTTAGTTCGCGAGTAGCACGAACAGCTTGGGGTCCAGCCTTTCGCAGTGCCAAAAAAGGATCTCGCCGGCCGCCTTGGTCGCGTTCTTTGTCGCCGGCCCCGTTGGGCCGATGTTCACAGCTCTTTCAATGGCCGTGGTTCCGCGCGCCAGGCTTTCGTCCCCAAAAGAGGAACCTTCATGAAAGACATGTCACTCGCAGTTTCGATGACCGAGTGCCCCACGGTAGATGACCTTGACCCAACACTTGGACCAGTTGCTAGGAAGACATGGGCGGGTGAACAGCCCCATCATTGTAGAACTGGGGAGGTTACTGGGCGACTTTGATTTTTGCGACCCATGCCATCTTGTTTCTGCGGCTCTGGGGACCTGCTAGGGATCTGCTAGGGCTCCGCTGCTCAGGAAAGGATGGCAAACTTTCATGGATGTACCGCTTCGTGCGGCTGAGCTTGCTAGCAGCATTAAGGAGCAGAGAGCAAGAGTGTGGCTACGAGACTTTGGTCTTCGTGCCTGAGAACATCTCCCAGAATGGGAACCTTCCCATCACTCTCACGAAAGGCTTCTCGAGCTGGCGAGCGAACTCGTATTAAGACCACAAGAACATGGGATAACATCCGTTTCTTTCGTTCGCTACTCCGTATTTTCAGTTGATACCGCTATTTGAACATTTCAGATATCGTACCCCTCTGCGGCTCCAACCACCTTCAAAAGGAAGGTGGAGATAGACTTTTTTGGCCCTCAAGGGGCCCTTATGTGGCACACACCGATCCAAAGACGCTCGGGGCGCCATGACACAGGCGATGTGTTGATCCACATCGGACTTCAGTGGAGGGAAGCCTTCGCAAGGCTTTGCCGGAGGCATTTGATGCCCAAAGAGATCTACTGCGTTGAGTATTTCTTGGCGACTTGGAGATACTGGAACCTGGAGATCCCAGTACCCTCCGAATCTAGAGGACAACCTCTAAGTCTATAAGTCTATCTACTTGGATAGGGAAACTCTTTCCTCTCGACTTGTGTTAAAACAACTCTATGACTCTTGTGAAGGACCCCAGACTGGCAAACGATGCAGGCCACTCGGAGAGGCCTCGCACACGAAGAAGTCGTACTCATATGTACTCATCTCATAACCCCAAAGGCTGTTTCGATCACCCTCATTTGAAACGATTCTTCAAATCGGACTCCTGATGATTAACACCATCCAAGCCAGAAGAGGTGTGGCGATCCAATTTTTCTTTTGTGAATCAAGTTTTTTTCATTGCACTGCGCACGCAAATGGAAAAGGTCTCTAGTTTCTGGATGTTGAAGACGTGGTCCAGGAACCGCAGTCGGACACGGGTCCCACTGCTGGTATTTGTGAAGTCTGGACCTATACCCATGGCAACCTGTGGCAGCTCGGTCAGAATGAAAGGGCTTTTATGTGCGTTCCATGGGGCAATTTTGGGACGCCTTTAAGTGCCTAGAGTCTATAAGCAGGTTGAGAAGATGAAGGTCTACCCTTCCCCGATCCTAGCCTACCAGTATGTTGCAGGTAAAAGCATTCTTCGCAGTACAATTGCACCCATCAGAATAAACTATCAGCTTCCAGTGATCACCCTTCAAGAGTGATTTGACCAAGAGTGTCAACCACCATTTCGGTTTGAATTATACAATTGTGTGTGTGGAATGATGTTTGGTATGACGCGCGCTATGATTGTGACACTTTTATGACTTCCGTTTTCACATTTGTTGTGACACACGGTATGATGTTGGTAATGCGGTATGACGTGTGCTTTGTTGCTTTGTGCAATGTGAAGACATGACGTTGGCTTGATGTTTGGACATTGGACATTACGGTGCTAGCTACTACGCTTGGCTTTGTGTTGGTACTTGTATGACTCGACCCTTGGTATGAACATTTGATCTGACACGGACGTGGTATGACGTTTGTATGATGCTTGCTATACGACCTTGGGTGAGACATATGGTATGCGCTTACTTTGAATTGTGGCACTAAGCGTGTAAGCTAACATCTCCTATCATAATTCTCAATGTAGATTAACTGCCCCTATGAAGCAGTTACAATCCAAATGGGAGGGGTTTTAACCATCAACAGTCATTGAGATGACGCTAAATGTTGGCTGGGATGCCTTCGATGTGGTGAAGTCAGACCCGCTGTCAGCAGCCATCAGCGGGTGGTCACGTAGATGGGGTGCACGAAGAAGATTGGGGATGACCAGCGGATGATCGCAGCGGAAGTGGAGCGAAAGGGGCTGAAGATCACCCATGCCCAGAACGTTCAAGTTCACCCACCGTACATGTAGATCAGTGGCTCCAGAACGGAATGTTTATTTTTTTTTGGTCGTTCACATCTCTGTGTGAATCCCCGGCCCAGGCTCCAAAACCTCACAATGGGCCCTCCTGGGTTGCGTTCGCTCCTCCTGATTTGCGTTTGACGCTCCGCGCGTTGCATTTCAGGGAGCACGGGGCTTGGATGACGCCGAACCACACGTGGCCGCGGCCGCCGCTGATCCGCTTTGTGCCCCCGGGTTTCCTGAATGGACACCATGCCCGAGTGAGGACCTACGAGGCAGAGGTTGTGTGGTGCGGTGATTGATGGGATAATATAGACATAACATATACTGTATGCTTCTTACGCCTGCGCATACACAGGTGTGCGCACGAGGGTCTGATGGAAAAGCCTGGCAACCTCAGCTTCAGACACGCCTACGGACATGCACACCCGCACCCGCACCTGCACACGCACTCGCGCACATGCACACCCAGCGGGCGAAGTTGGAGCCACCTTTGCGTCAGCGAGCCCTGTAAACACAGATAGCTTTAAGAAAATGCGGAAAATACAGTGTTTTTGAAGCGCTCTCCACGCCAACCAAAGTCCTCACTGCGATATTACGCTTCTATTCGAGACTTATTACACGCGCCATGTAGGCTCAGGTGATGCTAGAAGTGTCGGCCGCAAACGGACCTTTTCAACATCACCAGGACGTATGTATTTAATTGAAAAAAATGTCAGAAGTAGAGGAACATGTACAAAAATTGCTACTGTAAAGCTCTAGAGAAGAAAGTATGCAAAGGGGAGAGGAAGTTTTGAGGTTGCATTTGTGTCGAGCACCATTGGCATCACCAGAGTACGGGCAGCATTGTTCACGTAAAAATAAAATTCTTAGGCCGTCTGTTCATAAACTACAGGGATTTTGCTAAAGCACTGCAATTTACACTGTTACAGCGTTTTGCGCCTAGTCATGCACCAAACCAACCCCTCAAAGCAGCCTCCCAAACCCCGAAGGACTTGCATCTTTCCAGCTGAGACCCTGCTGATGCTAATGATGCTCGACCAAAATTTGTCCTCAAAATTGGTCTCCATTGTCTTCATTTTCAATGCTTTATTTCTAGAGGTGTTGAAACTATGGGCTTTTCACAGTGGCAATTTTCTGTAATTTCCTCTGTTTTTGACGTTCTTTGACGAAACCACATGAGCCTGGTGATGCTAGAAATGTGGGTCGGCGGCGTCGCTGGATATAAGTCGGGCTAACGCCCGGTGCCGCTGACCCCCCGTAGCCACCAAGGACCAATCTTCTTGTATGGTGCGAGCATCATACACATCAAAAATGTCCTTTTTACAGCAGAAACCCAGTGGAGCAAGAGTTGGTACGGCCGCGGCCAGAGGCCTAGAACGCGTGCGATGGAGCCTAACCCATGTTGTTCTGTGCAAAAGTGGCCGGAAACCGGAGAGGGTCCCAGACGGCAGGGCAGGGCCACGGCGAGAGGCCTGGAAGGCGTCCATGGCCACTGCGTTGCGACGCCCTCCTTCCACACGTCTGGCCATGGCCATGCCTTGGTTGTCTGGGACCCGGCCTTCCACGCCTCTGGCCGTGCCCTGCCAACTTTGCTTTACTGGCTTTTGAAGCTGCCGTCTGGCACCCTCTCCGGCCACAATTGCGCGCAGAGCAACATGGGTTTGCTTTACTAGCAGCTGCTGTCTGGGACCATCTCCGGCCACATTTGCGACATTTGCACGCAGAACAACATGGCCTAACATGGGCCAAGGCTGCGGCGATGCCCTCCTTCCACGCCTCTGGCCGTGGCCCGCCAACCTCCTTTTACATGTTTTGCTAGCTTTCGAAGCTGCCTGGGACTGGGGCCCTCCCGGCCACCACCTTAGCCCATGTTGCTCTGCGCAAATGGCGTGGAAGGATGGCATCGCCACACCTTTGAACTTGACATTCGGAACACATCTGCGCCGATTGGTGGTTCCATGGTTGAGTTAAGTATATTACTCAAATAGATTAAAGACAACCGCACACTGGCGATGCCATAAGGATTTGTTGTTGGTGGATGTACTGCAAAACTTAAAACAGCGTCCATCCCATGCGCCTTTTCAGATTGCCCACATTGGACATCGCATCCTTAAGTAGATACGCCATGGCGACATCGATATCTGCATATATCTATTCCGTTTTAACGCGTAAGGCCTTACGGACTCTATATAGACATGCTATTTTTCTATACTCAGATCTTGCTTGTCCCTGACTGTTGTTGTTGTTGTTGGTGGTGGTGGTGGTGGTGGTGGTGCACGGCGCCAAGAAAACATTGTTGAAACATGCTTTCGGCGTGCGCAGGGTATGGTTGGTACTCTCTCGAGCCCTCTAAATACCGATATGTTTGAACCTTGGCAGGCCAAAAACCACGCTATTTATGCGTTTTGCATCGCCGGAACAAACCATGGATCAAGAAACACGGTAAATATGTTGTTTGAACCTCGGCAAACCAGCAAACCAAAAGCTACACTATTAAGGAGGTGTTTGGCATCATCGGGGCAAAATACTCCGTAAATATCGATGGTTTTGAACCTCAAACTAAAAGCCAGGGTATTTACGCGTTGACCGATGTTTGTTCTTTATTCTACGGACACTCCGCAGTTTAGACTCGGCACTTCGCACTTTGCACTGCAGCCTGTACGCCCCCACGCCCTACACACTCAACACTACTCACACTTTAGACTGCCTCAACACGCCACACTCTACACTACAGACTGCGACTGCGTGTGCACAAAGTGCACCCTGCAATCCACTGTGAAATCCACAGGTGACAAGTGCACATTCAATATCCTACAATTTCCTGAGCAACTCTTTTGTCAACCATGGCACAACATGGCACAACCGCCTCGTGGAAAAGATTAAGATTCATCAAATGCAGGGGGGGGTTGCTTTTGGATTTTCCAGGGACATTAGGGACACATAGAACAGATGTAGACAGAATACGTACATAAACCGGTAGAAACATAAAACGTCAAAAGGACACAACAAATGAATCTATAGGACAATTGTAATGATATATATATATATAAGTTAAGTAGAACGCAAAGAAAACAACGCACAAAAGACTGTCCTTTCTCTCAGATTGATCGACTTGAACAAAGGTCGTCCTTTCTCTCAGATTGATAGACGGTTACTCTTTTATTTGTACGAAGTCCCAAATGCTCAAGAGTGGGACCTGTGGCAGGCCTTTCTTAAAAGTTCATCAATTCCTTTTTGTTTGAATGAGAAGAATGAGAGTCTTCCCTAGAAACAAGGACAATTAAACATGGAGAATGGATCACTGACAAGAAAACACAAGTAACAAAACATGCAGTAAAGATTAAGAGTTTCTATTTTTGGTCTGAGCGGTGAGCATCTACTAGTTCCCTGCCAAAGCGGATTTCAGGCTGACACTTTCTATTTGCAAATATCATACAACTATATAATTTTCATGATTTTTCATGCAGTTCCTTTTTTTCCTCAAACTGTGAAAGTCAACACACACACACAGACAGACACACACACACACAAGTGCGCACTCAATGCTCTTCAATTCTACAATTTCCCTGGGCAACTCTTTTTGTCAACCATGGCACAACAACCTTTCGTACCCTGGCAAGCGGACAGGGTAGAGAAAAGGTGCAAAAGGGTGCAAGGTGAGAAACATGTAGGCCAGGTCAAAAAAAGAGTAGGCTAAGGTTCAAAAAGTAGGCCAAGGTTGAAAAAGAGTAGGCCAAGGTTTATAGAAATAATCCAAGGTCAAACATAACAGGCAAGGTTAACCAGAATCAATCCAAGGTCAAAAAAGTGTTGCCCCACACCAACAGACACACCAATAGTGACACGAACAACTGCACCAAGAAATGCTCCAACAGAACACGGCAACAGTGTTCCATAACCGGTCATTTGCCCCAATTGCAGCCGAAGATCGGAATTCGACCAATATGCGATCTAAAGTCTATTTCCAAAGACACCAGCGCTGATGGAATCAGCGCTTTGGCGCCGGGTCGTCGAGCCGGAGGTGTCGGATCTCCAGTGGGGCTATATCGGCCTTTTGGGGAAGAAGGGATGGCAGAGGCGACATCAGTGCCACTGGGCGAGAACCGGGTGCCGCCACAAGAGACAGGGGTCCCCTCGTGGAAGTACACGTGTTTTTCTTTTTCTTTTTATACTCGATGCTCACTCATATAGAGGGTGGTTTTTGACTGCAGTGATTGGAATATCTTAGTTGCTGGATGATGATGCTTTGTCCCCCAGACTTGCTGAATGGAGACCGTGAACCACCCAAACCGATCCCTTTGTGCTCCTGGTAGTTTGTTTTCGTGATGTACTTCAGGTTGCGCAACGCACGGCGCCGGGTTTTTGAATGAAACGCGAAGCTTCCAGTTCAAGTCATTTTCACACTCGTTCTTGACTTGCTTCGACCTTTCTTGTAAGACTGCAGTTTGAGGCTTCGATCATTTGCAGGAGGTCTTACCCACGCTTGAAAGGTATGACGCCTGGAATCTAGAAGAGTGGAGGCCGCCTGGCACAGCTTCAGACATCGTTTTGATCCATTTGTTTTGTTGTTGTTTTTTTGCCATGGAACATTCATGCCAAAATTGGCAGTAGACAACCAAGATGCTACTTGCGGGCCTCCCGAAAAAGGCAGGGTGGTGGTTAGGTGGTTCAACAACCCCCGAATTGATGGAGGTGGGGTGAGTGGTTCAATTCCTGGGTTTTGCGGGTCAAATCATGCTCAAGTGTGCGGAGTGTTCCAAGAACACAGTAGCCTCGGTCCTAGGTGTCCGGAGTCGTGATACATGCAGGGTTGCAGCAACCCCCAGCCTCCCCTACTCTTTGCATTCAGAATGGAGATTTTCACCTGGAGACCGGCACAACCCGACCCGGATGACCTCGGCCGCCGATCGGCCGAAGGATCGGCCGAGCCACCAAGGAGGTTTGAAGATCTGCCGAACTTGGCGTTCATCAACTTCCACAAGGAGCGAAAAGTATTTGTTTTCTTTTCCTACAGGGAAGGATTGGCCAGGACCCCCCATACCTGGTTAGTTGGCCGTTTGGGCCTGATTCATACACCACACAGGTCGAGAGGGTCTATCATCCGAGGAGTGTGGAGTCCCACCCACTGCTTCTATCCCAAAACATCCACACCTCAAATACATCCACACCTCAATAGGGTCATACAGATTAAAAGTCCAAAAAGATGTGGCTCACATTTTGATTTAACGTTGTGAATTGATTTCTTCCATCTCCAAGCCACTGGTCCGAGTTCGCCGGGCTTGTTCAACTTCGTCGCCGGGCTTTTGACCGTCCTTAAGGACTGTAACGATCCACGGAAAGCGGTCGTTCCGGTCTTGAAGCCGTTTCCTTTGGAGCGGAAGTCCTTAGAGACGGTGCGGATGGCAGAGCTGCTGAGCTCGGGGTACTTCGTGGTGTCGGAGGAGGCGGGAGGAGGAGGAGGAGGGGGAGGAGGAGGGGGAGGAGGAAAATGCGAAGAGGTCTGATGGATGCAGGCTTATAGTGCGATATGCATAGATTCCATGATAATTCTTCTTTGGTGGCTGCAAAACGGGGCTGATAGTGCTGGAAAGACTGTGAAACGAGAGAGTTTGATTGGGAAAGTGGTTCCATGTAGACGTTTGCAAAAGAGGGTCGTTTTCCTTCAGCATCGTGCAGACAGTTTGTGCAGATGTAACAGATCCAGAGTGACAGGAACTCCCATGGCATGGACCTGCAGTGGGTTTGATCCGAAGCGCAGATGGACTAGATGTTGGACCCCGCATGGAGTGACGTTCAGAATAGGCCCGGTGGCCATGGAAGGATGCGCAGACTAGATTCACTCCCACAAACACGTGACATGGTGTCCTGGAATTGTTTTTTGTTTGGTCTTCAGAAAGGATGTAAGTCGAAGTCCACGAAGCAATCTCCAGGTCAATCCCATGGATGCTGCCCTTTATGATGGCATGGTCTTTGTGGAAAAGACGCTGGGCAATCTCAGATCTGATCCGACACCAGTCCCACATGCTATGTCAAGGATCTCAAGCAAGCCATATTGGAACAACTAGAACTATTTCTGGTTGGGCCTGGGTTTCCCGGAAGATCTTTTTTGACTCACCTGAGCAAGCTAAGAGCAAGCTAAGAGACCTCCGGTTAAGGTAGCGGTGAGTCTTTGACCATCTCTGACCCCTGATGCCCTCGAAGAAAAAAACGACTAGAATCCTGGATCGGCTTTTGATAGGATCGACTTTTGTTAAGCTCCCAACGTTCACTGTCATGGCTCATGAATTTTGTCGCACAAATACTCCCACGGGCACATCACGAAATGGACGTATACACCCCTGCTTGAGGACATCTTCAAACTACAGGGGGGAATGCGCCACTTTTGGAACGTTCCTGTTGGAGACTATATGGAGCTTTTGTTGAAGAGGCCAAACAAAGATGGCCAGAGTATTGCATCATGTTCTCGGATCATTGGAAGCTTGACCAGAGTCAGAGTCTCAACATGAATCAAGTGATTTCACCCAGATATCGTGCAAGATGCCCTGAAACTGCAGGCCTCCAACTTGAATACTTCCGTTTCGCCGTTTTCTCCTCGGCCAATGGCACGTTGCTCCGATTGACTCACCCAGCATTGGAAACCCAAGTTGCAGGATTTCAAACAATGCTGAAGGAAAGATATACATTTACATATATATATATATAAGTCAACAAATTATCTTTCACCCAGGGGGGCCCTGCGTGGAACCCATGGTTCGATCCATGGTTGCCCTGAATTTTGCCTCCCCCATCATTCCTGAAGAACCACTAGACTCACAACAAAACACCAAGATCACGCATGGCTCGGAAGACCTCCACAAAGCGACGACGGAGGGATCGACGGTGGGGCCATTCGATCCAATCACCGTTGGCTCGAGGAACCTTTGGCAGCCCAATGAGACCTGGAGCGCCCAGTTGCGGGAGCTCCTGAGCAACTCCTCGCAGTTGAATGCTTGGAGCGCCCAGGCCTTTGCCAGCTTCAAATCGAAGTTCAATCCGCAGAAGCTCCTCCAGGACGCTCAGGTGAGGTGAGTGAAGACTCCCTGTGCTCCGGGGGAAGACTTGGGAGAGCAAATGCTTGGAGGGGTGGGCAACATTACGGTCATCGAATTCTTCCCAACTGAAACGCCTTGAACACCTTGGTTGGTCACTTGGAGGTTTTCAGCTTTGACCAAGAGCAGCCACCAAGTTGTATAGATGTTTCGCATTCTTTCCTTCACGAATGCATTGTGCAGGGTTGGAATGGAACCTACAGAAATGCATAGACGAGGGTTCTCATTCAACTGTCTGTCTGTCAGGAGTCAGGATCTGAGATTGGTTGAGTGCCCAAGTGAGTTCCCAAGCGTCATAGCACGAAATGGCACAAGTGTCCAAGTAAGTATGGCCTCACCGTTGGGGTTGGGGGAAGGATGTGGAGGAATTCCGGGGAAAACCGTTGAAACGTGACATTTGATAGCGTGTGGTATTTAATTGTAGCGTGCTGCAATCTTTGCCCCGAAGAGTGTGGTCACACTTGGGGTTCTTACGGTAAGAGTTAAGGCTGGGTTTGATCAAAGTTTCTCACCGGCGTCGGCGGAAATTTCACTGCCAGTTGCAGCACATTCATGCCTCTCGAGATCTTCGAAGTACATCTATATAGACCGCGCAGGCTTGCGCAAACTGGTGGTCCGGAGCAGGTGCTTTCCTCGAAACACATTTTCGGACTTGGTGGTCACTTTTCGTGGTAGGCGCAAGGGAACCCTCATGTTTTCGCAGTCTCAAGTCGACTTTTCGTGGCAGGTGCAGGAGATCGCAGCTGTTTTACTTCGATGTGCAGATTTCGCGGCAGGCGCAGCGCTTTGGACTTGGTGGTGGCTTTTGGCATGCCCTGGTGAACAGAACAGTGAACTTTGGACATGTGGCTTCTTTTTGCCCCTCCCCTCCAAGCGCTCACGCAACGCAAGCAATGCGGCATGTCAAAAGCAAGCGACAGGCGGCGCATGGGAAGCAATTTGTACGCACAAAGACCTAGCCCCCAACACACTCAGCCATCCCGACTCACTGTTGCTGGTGAGGTGGCGCTTTAACATATGTGTGTGTAACCCTTGGAATCACAGGGATCCTTTCGGATTGTTTTGTTTTGGGTTTGCTTCCGATTTTACAGCAGGGGGACCATCCATGTACTGTGTGCAATGGTCCAACGAAGCGGCCACAGTACATGCGGATATCACGGCTGATCACCGTGACGTACCTGCGAATTTTGTATGGCATGAGGCTAAGCCAAGAACCTCACGACTTGATGTGTTTGACCTGCAGATGCGAGCGGAACGTCGTCAGCCTGTTCGTCCGTCGTTCGTTTTCTTCCTCTTTGGGCCACTTCTCCGTTTGAAGACCCCCAGGATTCGTTGGTTCCCTACCGGTACTCTTAGGAATTGGAACCTTAGGCCGGCGTGTGGCACCGCTTTCAGTTCCGTATGCATATCCATAAGTGTGTGTCGCGCAAAGGAGACCGACGACAGAGTGAAGCACTCTGCAGCAAAAGTTCCCTACGAGAGTGTCATGCAAGAGTCCCATACAAGAATTTCAAGCAAAAGTACCACGCAAGGGTGCCCGACAAGAGAAGTGTCCTAGAAGAGTGTCTTGCAAGAGGGTCGCCCTACGGTTTCCCACATCGGCGTCCTAGATATACAAATATGATAAGTGCACCACCGACAAAATCCTACGACAGTGTCGCGAAGACCGTCCTTGCCTCCCAGAATCTCCGTCGTAGGTATCAAAAGTGACCTTAGACAGTATTTAGTCCTGATAATTTTGCATGTGTTTTGGAGGCGGGTTCGTGTTTTCTTAAATCATTTTTCTCTCGGAAAAACCTATTTTGTGGTTGGTCTCGCAGGTCTGGGATGGCGGTTTCATGCACCAGAGCTTGCACTGCGGTCCCAAAAAGAGTTCCCTGATGCGGCCGAGCGGACAGTGGATGGAAACCTGAGGACACCAAAGAAACCAGGTGGCTTGTTTGAGCCGGTTGAGCAAAAACAGGACATGATTGCTTGAGAACACTTTTAACGGTTTCAAAAGAAATATATACAATGCCCCATGCGACACTGCAAGACCGCTTGATTGTTCCCAGCTGAAAGCCGGTTTGGAAAGGCATTTGATGTGGTGGATCGATTTTTGGTTTCTTGGGATACCTGATTGACATGGATCATGGATCCCCTAAAACATCCTAGACCATACTTGTATGGAATTGGCGGAACAGCTCAAATTCGTGACTGGGTGAGAATCATCCCCTAGAACATGCACCAGCACCAGTGGGGTCGACGGAGAAGTGATCGAAACACAAAAAACCTTCTCAGCCGGCCCAGAAAAGCGCAGCTCGTTGTTCACCAACTTCGACGAGGAGACCTCCGTGCGGTCCTATGCGCTGCTTGGCGGAATCAAACGACTGGACGACGACTGGAGCACTGGTGCTGTATGATTGAAGCGTTCCTGATTAGATTGGAGAATGGTCAGATCACCAAAAACCTTTGTTCCCTTTGTCAGCTCTGTGCCAGGACGCACAGCTTGCCAGACCAAACTCCGATCAGCTTGCCAGACGATGCCGGACTCGTCACATTCGAAGACCGTGAACCGTATCGAACCCCGATCCGACCGGGAGGAACTCCACCGAGACCGTCGAGTCGGCGCTACCGGAATCCCCAACATCGATAGGCTTTATCCCATTACCAGGAAGAGTCAGTACATGAAAAGTTCTTTTGGGGAAAGGTCTTTACTCAGTTTTACTCACCATCATCATTCACTGTTTCTGGTAGTGGGATATACCGTTGCAGGGTCTCTTTATTTATTCTTTTTCGCTGGGAACCGATCTTAATGGGTCAACTCAGATGGACAGACTCCAAGTCCAAGGTGCTTGGGTCTGGATTTTCTCGTGCTTCATCGGGTTCTGCCGGGTTCCCGGTGGGTCAACCACCACATCCTTTTGGGTTTCCCCCAAGATGGAGGGCAAAGGGAACCCATTCTTGGGCCGTTTGTGGTTTGATGGACATGAATAGAATAAGACAGCCTTCACCACCCCACACCCTCACGTTTTGTATCTTATTGTTTTTAGGGGTCTGGCACACGGTGTCCAACACCCCTGTGGTTCATGATTCTTCACATCAGGAAAAGATTGGTGAGGAGTCCCTTCTTTGCTCACGCAGTGACGACCATCATTGTCTTCAACTTGGTGATCCTGGGTCGACCGACAGCGACGGGCTTTTCGAGTTCTTTTTCGTGCTGCCTCCTGTGGACGGTCATCGGAAGATCTTCCCCAAATCAATTTTCGTTGGCAGTTGCACTTGGGGATGTGCGAAAAGTTCCCGAGTACGATTTAAGGGGTGTGCAAGACTTTTGAGACAATTTCTCTTGACTTGTCAATCACCTGACAGATAGATGTGGGTCATCCTGTTGAAGATTCAGGATTTATTCTTTTTAGGGGTGGGTTTTGAGGATTCAACATCTGACCGAGAGGATGTCAACAAAAAGGTGAACGACCACAAGCGGTGAACTAACCAGGCGACCTCTGGACGATCATTTGGAAATCTTGATCAGTGAGTTTTACTGTACTATGGCTGCCATGGTACCATCTGGTACCCCACCTTTTGGTGAAGATCGAGGATCACAAATGAAGTACATGGACGTGAAATGGACTGCACAGCCTGGGCATGAAATGCGAAAAAGAGACCAGTACCCTTAACGATCTTCAGATAAAGTTTGGCAGAAGGGAATCCTGCAAATAGACACGTGGCAGGAAGAAGTGAATGAACAGACCTATGGCAGTGCCACATTTGAAAGCCGGTGGCTTCGTGTGTGGCAGTTTATGGGAGCAAAAAACACATGAAAACCCATGACTTCCCCCCGAACACCTCCAGACCCTTTCCTCCGAGCACCACCGGAATGCGCGGTTCATGCAGTTCCTCGGCCTCGGGGGCTGACCCTGGTGAGGGATCGAAGTGGACGTCTCCACCACCCTCGGGCAGGCGGGTGTGCCACCGGTGCGAGGGGAGCAGGGGGAGCAGGGGGAAAAGGCGGTGCGAAGGACTTGGAGGATCCTTTTTTTGGAGCATCACGAGCCATGTCAACACTAGAAAGACTAAGAGTTGGAGGATGGAGGTGAACATCTCCATGGACGACACCCTTGAATGGACACTGGGAGGGTAAGACCCCAGTTGCCCCGGGAGGCTTTCTCAGAGGACGGCACCAAACAACGAACCCTGGAAGACGGTAAACTGGCGGAAGAGACGAGCTCAAGCTGCACAACACTCCACTAACATCGAAGTGGAAAATAGACCCCTTGGAAGACCAGTTTGCTCAACGAACAGGGGGCTTTCCACGTCCATGTTGGTGAGTGGGAGTGTATCCAAGAGGTTGAAACGCCTGTAGAAATGCTTTGCGGCTTGTGGATATCCGAGGAAGCTTGAGTTTTTCAACAGGTTGGGATCAGTATGGCGAACACGATGAAACCGATTGCACTACATTGAGCTTCAGAAGATTGCAGATCAAGAAATTGGCCGTCTTGATTATCTATGGTGAACTAGGATCATCCTTGATGTTTGGCCTTCAGTAGCTTCAATTCTTGGATTCCTTGGACACGTGATGCTGCTTGGCTGGCAAAGCACAGAGCTCGCCCGCCTGAACCATGTATGTGGCTGTGCTTGTGGGGGTATTTTATATAGAGGTCATGGAAGGGAGTCTACTGTATATGAGTTTACACTCCCTGGTATCCTCAGGTAAGTGGATGGCATGGCCCGTTGCGTTGGATGACCATTTTCCTCTACAAACAAGTGGTTTTCCACTGCCATGATGATTCCATTGAGTTCATACATATCTAATGTGGGGAAGTCTTAGTGGGATTCCCTTCTTGAAGTCCAGGAACCACTCATTTTGGATGCGAAAAAGGGATCCGATTGCTGCCAGTCGCCCAAATCTGGGAAGCTCTACAACTGGTTGCTGGGTCCCCCCACGGCTTTGGCACCGGAACTGCTTCGCCAGGACGATATCCCCCGCTGGTTTGGGGTGTACAACGGCATTGTGGTGCCATGGCAGAAAGGGTGTGTTCTTTCCCATGGCAGAAAAGGTATGCTCTGATTGGAGAAAAGAACCTTTTGGTACAAATATACAATATGGCACCATCCAGCTGGCCTCCGGCCCAGAACAGAGCACCTTGGGTGCCGAAGCAGAGCGTCTCGGGAAGCTAGAGCATGCATCGGTTGCCGGCAAGGGATAAAGTTCCTCATGATCCACTTCAGTCAAAGACAAAGCTTGACCATCCAGACTCCTAGCAGCAAGCGCCAAAAGAAAATCTTGAAGAAATAAAGCTGACCCCGACCAGTTGTCCATTCCTGACAAACGTGACCAGCAGTTTCGGAACCGCCGTTATATAGTGGCTGCGAAATCATGTGCCTCTTTGGCACTTTGGCACCCAAAGTCAGCCAGGAAACAACTGTGTATGCAAGGAAACCAGCTCCTGCCAGACAATGAACTAACTTTCAATAAGATGCTGGTTTGTGGGTGGCTTTCTGAGCAGTTGGTAGTTCATGTACACTGGAATTACTTTGTTTTGTTGTGCTTTTTGCGTGTTCGAGGGTTTGCGGGTTTGAGGGTTTGTTGCTAGTTCAAGTACATTACCTGATGTCTTTCAGCCATGTTCGCACCACCTCTGTAAGCTGTCTTCAGTATGGGCACCCTGTCAGCACGACAGGTGGCCATCCCACCAGCCTTTGAAAGACGCATCTTTCAGGGGCTAATCACAATTCTACTCAGCACCACGGACCCACGGCTGTCTGTTAATTTAAGCTGAAGCCTTTGATCGAAGCCCCTTCAGCTGAGATCGTGGTGTGTCAAACCACCCAGAGAGATTCACAGGTTTCAAGCCCACATCTTTCTGTACGTTCCGTGTTCCAAGAAAACCTGAGCTTGGTGGTCTTCCCTTGGGTTAGGGAAAAAGGTCACGGGGGGTGATCCTTTCAGTCATGGCTCAGGTGATCCTTTTTACGCTGGAGCTCGGGATCAGCTTGTACGCTCAAGGCTGCCGAACCTTCTTCTGTGGCCGTGAGCGCTGGTGGACCCTTGATGGGCACAACCCCGCCTCGGCGCGTGCCGCGACCACCGTGCCGGCCACGGCGGGCGACCGCCGTGCCCGTGCTTGCGACAGTGGGTTTTCAGAGCCTTGCGGGGGTGATGGTCCCTCCACTTTCCCAGGTCTTGTTCAACCGTTGACCCTGCTAGCCGTCATTGGCATGGCATTTCATGGTTTCAACAGGTTTCAAACACGTATTTATCATACTAAGAAACATTCAAGTGGACAACTTCCGGTTTGTAGAGGAATGCAGTCTTCTAAGGGGTCATTGTCCACTGAGGTCGGATTATAGGCTAAATAATAGGGCATCATTTAGAACCCCTTACCTCCAGCCCAAAAGCAAGAAAAAGGAACACCAGGCACTGCCCAACTGAAAAAGCGAGCGATCTCCAGATCGACCGATCTCCGGTCGGAAAGAGGGCTGTTTCACCGAGGAATTTCTTCGATCTGGTGATCATCCTCCTCTCGCTTTTTGAAAGTGTTCTAGACTTCTGGGCGCCTGGGACGGCAAACATCGCGGGATGACGACGATGCCTTTTTCGGCGAGTGACCGTTGAACAACGAAGCGGAGCTGGAGAGCTGGACGCCAAAGAACCAGAAGCAAATGGTGTGGAATCTTCTCAAGAACCACTCATGTTTTGCAAAAAAAGGAACAGGGATGGTGGTTCCAGGAATGCCTTTGCATGGTGGCAGAAACGGGTGCAGCTGGACCGGAGGCATCCAAACTTGGACCGGAGGACCACTCAACATGTTGCCAGGATAGAGGGGTTCAGGTAAGGTGGCCATCTTCTTTCCAAAGAAGACTCAGTGGCTCTAAGTTCTGACAACTGTTTGAGTTGGTTGAGTTCATTGGTTGACTATAGACTATATATACACAGTCTCCTTCACTTGCTTGGTTGGTCTATATTGGTCTATACAAGGGTCTAAGGATTAGCAACGAGAAGTTCTGTTAGTGATAATGTTTCAAAGAACACATGCAACAACAACCTGGGGCAATTCCCCAAGGTTTTGGACTTTTTGTGCAAAGACCATTTGTTGATCTTCCCTTCTGGGACGTGGTCAGCCACGCCACGTCCCATCCCCTGGCTTTGCAGAGGACTGGACTGGAAGCGAGGCAGCAAACTACTTTCTGTCGTCTTCCAAGACCCAAGAAAGACCCAGATGGACCGGACTGTCCAATGGATGTCCTGGCTACAGATGCCTAAGTAGTATATAGTATCATATAGTATCATAGGTAGCTAGATCCCCCCCTCCAGACAACATTTTTAGTAGCACGTATTGTTTTGCAAAAGCATATGAGGACCAAAACACTTGGAGAGTTACCATAAACATTGCCAAGGCACAAAAAACCTTAGTAAGGCTTCACATCTAGGGCGTGTTGGAGGGCAACTGTTGACTTCCTTAAATTCCCTTATATTGGCCGATATAGGGGTGTACAAGAAACGCACATTTTGGCAATGGAAAATCACCGGAAGCTAAAGGCGTATTAATAATTAAGCGCTATCTCTCGGTGCGATGCAGAGATCTGAAAGGTTGCAACATACACACATGCCGCTGACAAGCCTCCGTCAAATACTCCTTATTATACAAGTGTTATGCCTGCAAACCATCCTATGCATCACCTCAGACCCGAATTGAAAGGTTCTCTGAGGCCCAGAGCTTATTGAGCATTATTTCTCTTGTGTGTTGGCCACCTACAGCAGGAGGCATACAGCTTGATATATATATATATATATTAAGGATAATGTGTTGCACCCGCTTGACGTCAGTGGTTCTCCCACCCAACCCTGTGTGTGCAGTACATTCCTTGGGTACACAACTCTTATTATTAAGATATATTATAGCTGGTTGGTGGAAAGTGGGGGGAGGGGTCAATGATAGATAGTATATAAGGTCTTGCAGCCAGGGCACCCAGGATCCTGTGTCCTTTTCCCTGCTGCCACCGTCACCGACCGGAAGCTTGCGCCCACCTGCCGGACCTGCGAGCCGGGCAGCTCAGGTCGAATCCACCTCGTCTGCCTCCCAGGGGGTGAGTGCCTCACACTTGCGCTTCGTGCGCACGGTGCGCCTAGCGCGTGCCCTGCGGGGCATCCGAGTGATGCGCTTGTTGCGCTATGTGAGCGCCTTGAGGACGCTGGTGCTCTCGATCATGAGCCACTCAACAATTGGAGAATCGGGACGTGCATGGGGTGTCGAGGCCAAGCTGGAAGCAAAATTCATTTCAAACCTCTGAACATCTCTGAGCCATGTGAATTTGGGGATGGATGAAGGAGTATGGAAGGATGAACCCTTATGTTGCACTAGAGCTTGACGGGGAATGTTTTGCTGCAATCAGTTTAGCATGCCTTTTGCAGCTTCTTGTTGCACCGACATCCTTTCTTTCGGAAGATGTAATTTGATTCAATGTAGAGATGGACGCCCCCAGAAGTGTACCTTCATCCCATCACAGATTGGAGGATGTTCTTTCAAACCTCTTCCAGAGGACCAGAGACGGACCTCGCGGACCTCGCCAGTGACGCAAAGATTTGGAGAAGAAAACTCAAAAGCAAAGCCATTGAAAAGCAATTTGCACTCCCATCTACTAAGAGAACTACTGGAGATTCTATGAGGATTCTCCAGTGTTTTTTCAAACACATAGAGAGACTGTTATAGAATGCTCGGATCGGATTGGTTAAGGTAGCATGGCTTCCCTCATGTGGACGCTGATCCTTCTCTTGCTCCTCTTCTACTCCTTCGGTGCCCTGGAAAACGATCTCTCACCCGGCGGTGGGGGCACTGGGCAGTTCTGCCGAGGGAAGTGAGGCAGATCCGTTGCTCTCCATGGTCTGGTGGCCGATGGTTTTTTTGGAATTCAACACACACACAAGCTGGAACTCTCCGCCAAAAAGGCCTTCGACACCTCAGGGCCCCATTGTTGCGTGAGGGCGTTTCTCCGCCTCCAAGTCCCCAGTTTATCATGGAGATTTCATGAGATTTCTCGCCAAAGTCCCAAACCGAACGAGCTGAGCCCACGTCTTCGTTGTGAGATCCGACCCACGCGGTTCAGGCGTGCTCTTTACTCAGCTGGTCTCAGATGAGTGCAGATATCAAGAAATCGCACGCACCTTGGACAGGTCCATCCCGCAAAAAGACAGCCCCATCCCTACCCCATTGCAAAGCCCCATCCGGCCATCACATGTGTGCTTTTGGGCGAAACAGGTGACCACTAGGGACTCCTGGCGGAGCAAGGACGCTACTAGGGGGCTCCTGGCATCGCTACCTTTCAGCACCGTCCCCGGGGTTTTGCTCCTGAATCTCCCACTCAAGCGGACGGGTGGATTGGACGGGAGGCCGAACACCCGGTGCGTCGGTGAACCGGCGGCGGTGGAAGAGGATGGACGAAGAACCCAGACAGGACCAATGGGACTGGTAGATTCTCCTACAGCCTGAAACCACCCCGAATGTATCTCAAGAACTTCCAGTCCGGAGTGTATAAGCAAGGGTGTTTCTATTTGGAGGATTCTCATTTCGATGATATCTGCTTCTGAATGGGCAGTTCTTTGACTCTTTAGACTGGAACTTTGGGATGTTTAGACTGGCCAACTAGATTCAACCAGACCAATCACTGATTTCGTCCTTGGGCCCTGTCTTTACAACAAGCAATACGACTGGCTGTTGAGTCGTCCATGGCATCAAGATGTCCACTCCTTCGGTGGTTCTTCAGCACCTAGGGACATCGTCCTTTCATCGACGGCTTCTGCAAGAGTGTGGCTTTTTTTCATGATCCAAGCATTCTCAAACTTGTAGTGTCATCATCCTGTTTCCTAAGACATTTCCTCATGTGGCATGGTTCTTGTCAAGCAGTGATGTTCTGATCTGCAAATACCTGGCTCTTCCATTTTCCGTCTTCCCCCCGGTCGCTTCCTTGTCCTCGTCGTCCTCGTCCGCCCAGGCACGCAACAAAGCAACTCAGTGCCGAGCGACTTGGACCGGAGGGCGGAGTGGACCCCAAGGAGAAGGAGACGCCCAGGACGAAGACACGCCACACCTACGCAGCCTACGCAGCCGGAATCGGCTGGACATGTAGGCGGTGAGAATCGGTGAGAAGGCCACATGCTGGTGGAGGTTCTTGGTGGAGCGCAAACGCAACTGTCGAATCAGGTTTGCCCAGCATGGGCATAGGATCATAATTGGGGGGGCACTCCAGTTGGCATCCTTACCAAGCCTTGGGGAACAGAGCTTGGGGAGACCTTCACCCATGAGCTTTCTTCTCATTTCTATGGCTGTGAACATTGGTCCCATTTCGGAATCCTCCACCCGTTGAAAGGTCCAACTTCCCTGGTTTCTGTGATCTCACGAGGAGCCCTGAAGCGAAGTTCTTCCATAGCACTGCTGTGTCCGCAACGTAAGGGGGTTCCCCGATGAGCAGTGCGAAGCACTGCCGTTGGTCGACCCTCTTGGGGAAACCATCGACTTCCCGCATTTTCCGGTCTTCGCCTTTTCCGGTCTTGCTGTCGGACCTTCCAACGTTTTTATGCTCAGGTTTTATTTGGTGGCTTTTGCCAAGCGTTCGGACCTCTAGCACCTTTTGAGAGGTGTTTCACATTGTTTCACTCTGGGGGCTTCAGCTTTTGTGCGTCCAGAGGATGTGAGGAGGACTTCGGCGACTATTACTGGTCTTCGATCTCCATGAGCATGCTGACCCTCTTCATGTCTCTCAGTTGAGCAACTGGCAGGATCTTGCAAGTAAGTCGTGGCAAGAGCGGGAGTTTAGGGTTATATACAACACATGGATCAGTGAACACGGAAAGATGGGTCTTGTGGGCATTCATCCGCAATTTCGTCCTTTGCCGAGATTTTGGCTGATTTAGGACAATTCACAATTCCAATCAATCGGCACCAACAAAAAGAGCTTTAATCCTCAACAGGTGGGGATTTCCCTGGTATGACCTCTATCCTGCTGCTTCGGTGTTCTTTGTTTTCCCGCCCGACCCCGACCAGTCCACCAGGCGACTTCGCTCCCTGATAATCCAATGCGAGAGCCGGAGCTCAATCCAACGGCCCCCCAGGTCGGTGTGCCCGCGGTGGTCCAACCCCAAAAACGCTCCAGATACGCACCGATACTTTGAGGGTCAGTCTGGTGGGTGGATTTGGGTTCCATTGTTTGGGGCTTCGACCTGAAGACACTGAAGATGCCTTGCGAAAGAATTGGATGGAAGACCCTACCTGCATCCTGTGACGACCCCAGCCCAGTCTGCAGGGATCTCCAGTTAGGTCACCCCCTTTGGGATGCTCCCTAAGTGCCGAACTTCACTGACCCGCGCTGGAAAGCAGCTCAAGGTCCACCACCGGTGGTGTCGACTGGGAAGATGCCTTGTCGCCGGGCAAGGAGTTTGGTTTCAACGTTCACACACACACACACACTCAAGAGAATGCGTACTGACATGATTGCGGTTCGCCACACGCCGGCCTAAGTAAAAACCTAAGGAACCAAGGTGAGTATATGTAAGGCGTTCTGACCATAAAGCCTCCAAAAGCATCCAAAGCTCAAAAGCAGAATGCGTGACTGCAGTGATGGAATGGATGCAATGGCTGGTCATCTTGTTCTAGTTGCAACGGGACCGAGTAGGAAATGCTCAAGTAAAACTGCAGGTACACACGGGTGATGAATCCGTGCTTACCACTCCAAGGCATAGATTCGTTGCACTGAGTTTGCCAAGGAGTGCTGAGATGTGCTGAGTGCCCCTGCTAAAAATCAACTGATTCCCTGTGACTCCAAGGGTTTCACACGTACACACACCGGTGGAACGAGGGTAGAGAGTCTTTTTTGTTCCAGCCTCAACTTGAGGGTCTTCCCGGAGTGCTTCAGTGCGGTTGTGTGGCGGGTTGCAACTCAAGGCCAAAGGGGCAGCTTGCCTAGTAATAAGTGTGTCGCTACTAGTATCAAGGGCATTACTGCCAGCAACAAGAAGCTACTAGTAACCAGGGCCTAACTGTTGACACTTCCAAGTGGGTCAACGTCAAATACAAGTTCCTGTATACGTTCTTTGAACTTGGCTATGGGTCAAAGTGAGACCTTGGCTGACCCCCTCCAAATGATTGACTCTTGAACCAGGAAATCTGCTCTTCTCAAGTTGTTTTGAAGATTAATTTAGGGGTTCAACTTGCAGTTCATGGAATTGGCCGCCCTTGAAGACTGATTGCTGATTTCCTCTTTCCACGTGAGCGCTTCTTTCCTATTTAGGTATGTTTTGGAGTCTTTTTTCTTGTCTGCTTTGGCCGAAAAGAAACACGAGGACTCTTTTCCCGGCCACTTTACAGGGATTCCTCATGTGGCTCCACTGGAGTTCCTTTGTCCTATTGGTGCTTCAAAACTCCAAAAATTGATGACATTGGGTGATTGCTCAACCCAGTGTTCCTTTTCATTTGGTCGTATTTGGTGATGTTTCTTTTGCTTTTGGTGCCGATCAACATAGTATTCAATAGTGCACGAAAACCAGATGTCCCTTCCTTGTTTATTTTAGATGCTGGTCCTCCAATTCAAGCAGTTGAGGAACCGCTAGAATGTTTTACTCCCCTGCAATTGCCCCAAAGAAACACTAGTTGGTCGTTGGCGTCAAAAAGAGATTCTGCTGTCTCTCCCTGGACCATCCTGAACTGGATCTCCTGGCTGAAGATTGCCAGTAGTGCAGGGTAGTCCAGCCAAGGTCTCCCCCAGATTGGATGGTGCAGGTCGATGGCGGGTGTCAGATGGAGTGTTTTTGGTTGTGCTTGCTTGGTCCCAAGACTCTTCCAGCCAAGGGATCCATTGATGAAGATTTCGCTCATCGCTGTGGGGTGCCTGGTGGTTTATGCCACGCAGCTCAAAGGTGGTGTTCAACATAGCGGCACCCGGGCTGTGAGGGGAAATGTTAAATCAGAAGAGGAAGTGACTAGGGACCCCAGGTGGCACAGAATGAAACAACATTTCCTCGCAGTTCTTACTGAAGTTCTTCAGTCTGGGGGAAACAGTGCTTGTCGTACTTCGATTTGGTAGTGCAAACAAAGAAAGAACAACAAACTATCAAGGCAATTCAAGATAAATCTACATCAAAAAAGAGAAATGCATCGAACCTTTGTAGATATGCTTCTCCTGAATTTCTCCATGAAATGTCAGAGAAATCCTTGGCCTCCCTCACTCTTTTTTCTGTCTTTCTTTCTTTCTTTCTTTCTCTCTCTCTCTCTCTCTCGCTCGTGACTCATGAGACCAACTAGATGCACATGTTTTGTTGCAAGTTTTCTTCGGGGATCTTCGGGGTGAACCTTGAGTTTGTTGGGCTTCAGTGGGTTCTGTAGTTCAGCCTCTTGGACGCAATCAGGCGCCAGAGCCTGTTTGCATTCTCAAAAGGAGTGAATATCCGACTACAGCTTATCAAGATCAGCTTTCTCTGGAGTCTGGGGCCATTTTCCATGTCGATGTGAATGACTGCTGTGTAGCTCATGCACTTTTGAGCCAATCTGCTGTTTGATCCTGTTTGTAGAGGGTTTTTTCGGGGCGATGCCATCCACGTAACCATGATTCTTTCAGGGAGTGCATGGCACTCCAGACCTAGATTCGTGTGTCTCCTTCTCCTTGGGCCCATTTCCAGAACCAAAAACACAAAGACGCCCAGGGTGTCGGGTGTTTGTTTCGTCACAGGTGAGATTTTCTCCCTTGGTCACACTTACATTTTGTACTGTTTGATCCAAGAGACACAAAAAGCACCTGTAAACCTTCCTTGTTCTCTTCCAGGTCTCCAACCCAACCGTCGAATCTACCGGGCCTGTTGTGCACGAACATTTTGTACCGTCACCCACGCACTGAGATTACCATCACCTTCTTCGCCATTGTGAACGCCACTTGGCGTTGAGGGCCCGGTTTGCCGGCACCGAACCCCGCCCGACATCCCAATGGCACGGACATGCCATGTGCATTTTGCCCATCGGTTTGCGGTATTTGGGGGGGAGGGTGGCGGGGGCAATGTCGTTTGTGAACGAGGTTCCGTCTGCAGCATTGCAGCTCGCAGGTTTCTGATCGCATCAAGGTTTTCGTTCGCTCAGGCTACGAACTGTTTCGCGTTTCGTGCTTGTGGTGTGTATACCTGTTTAGTTTGGATCAGTATATCTGAAGATGCATCCTTGGTTTTGGGTTGGACTGATGTGCATTTGTCACCGCGGACATTTTCGCCTTTGGAGGCCTAAACCATTTGCAATGCTACGTTGGTGGGGCGTAAAAGGTGCTTTGACATCCGCCGTGTGAAGACCCGCTTGGTGGCTATGTTTGGCCCCTTTGTTGAGCCTTGCTTCGTGCTGGCTGTGCACTTCCCTTGCTTGTTGAGTTTGTTTTTTTCCCCAAGCAGTGTGGTTACACTAAGGGGGTTCAGTTAGGGGTTCTTCCGGTAGTTGTTAAGGTTGGGTGGCTGATCGGAGGTTCTCATTTGTGCGTCAGGCTAATTCGCTGCTATTTACAGGACATTCATTCACCTCGAGATCTTCGAAGTGCATTTCGACTGCGCAGGCTCGCAAAATCTGGTGGGCCCGAGCGGGTGCTCTTCGAGACTGCGCTCCCCGCACATTTTAGGACTTGGTTTCATGGCAGGCGCAGGGGGAAACCTTGCTCCTCTTTTAACTTTTAATGTCATATGTGTGCTCTCACGCGTGCTCTTCTATATGTGCTCATGCGCGTGCCTTCATGCATGTGCTTTCACATGTCCTTTCATGTGTGTGTTCTCTAGACAGGTATTTTGTCCGCTTGGGCTGGCTTGCAACTGCTGTTTGGCAGGTTGAAGGCTCTGATCCCCACGAAAGCAACAAGAACTGGGTCACGTTTCTTGCAGCGGGACGCTTTCGGTGTGCGTGGTATTTTTTTGCAGGAGCGAAGTGTTTTGAGGACGGAGCCGCTCGAGGACACACGCGTGATTTTCCGTGATGTTCTTCGACATTGGTGTTTCCAGTTCCCAGATTCCGACTTTCCCTTCCCTAGCGTCTTTTTTTACCAGAATCAGTTTTTGGGTTCCCACAATCGGATTTTGGGTTCCCTCGGTGATTTTGGGTTCCCACAATCGGTTTTTGGGTTTTTTTAGGTGATTTTGGGTTCCCTCCTAGGGTTCCTGCCGTTGTGTCTCTTTCCTTTTGTCGTGCTTGCATCCTGTAAGCAATTGCGCTAGCAGATGGTGCCTTCCCAATGCCAAACTAGCCCCGTCACTACTTCTAATATTCCTTGGTTGTGCCTCACACGCTTTCCCCATGTCAAACTAGCTCCGTCACTACTTCTGGTATTCCTAGGTCGCCTTTGTCCCATACGCAGTCATGCCAGTTGGTCTTGGCTCAATTTGACCTTGGCCCCGCCTTTCAACGCCATGCCGTCATGGGAAAATGTCGACCACGGGTGCATGTGGACCCTGTAGCGTAGCATAAAGAGGAACGGTAGGTATGTAGGATCTAACTCTTGTTGGTTGTACAGGCCGCTTGACTTGCAGCTCACCTTCTTTGCTCAAGCCGGGAACTCACTGACTGTTCCTTGTGTTGGCAAGGGGGGCTCGGGAGATCCTGGCGAGGGTAAGTGGGCGTGCCCGGTGGTTGCCGGTGAGGCATGGGAGACCGCAGGAAAATGACCGCGGCCATGCGCAAGAAGTTGCTTGGTGGCAAACATGTCTCAAGAGCCACCTTCGAGAACTCGTATAATGCGGAGTCGGGTGACTACTTTTGCATCGAGGTCTACGATGACAGGTGTAGGCTGTATAGGCCTATGGGCCTTGGCATTGTGGAGCCCGTGATGCGCTACACACCTGGAGAGGACGGGGCTTTCCTGAAGTGCAGGTACAAAGGGTGCAGTCCTGAGGACTACAGGTGGTACATTGAAAATGAGGGTGTGCCCGGGGGGTTGCCCGGGATGCTATGCATCATTTCTGCGCGATTGAACCAGGAAAGTGCACGGCTCATGTACACGCTGGTACAACTATACATTGCAGGTGATTGGCACCCATCACTCCCAAAGAATGCCATGACCTTTTGGTGGAATGGGGATACCCAGGGTTGTCTCTGGCCCCAGTCCCTGTGCCAGTCAGGGCCACCACCAAGAAGCCAAGGAAAGAGCTTGCGAGAGAAGCTGAGGAGCGTGAAATGGACAAAGTGGGGCATCCCAAAAGGAAACCAGCGCCACCGCGCATGATTCCAGTCAAGAAGGAAGAGGATGAAGTTGACTATGAAGAGGATGAGGAACCCGCCACTATTAAAGGGCCTGCAACAAAGGAGGCTGCGATCAAGAAGCGCAAGCGTGAAGGAGGAGCAGTCGCTTTGGACTCAATGCTTGAAGGAGGCGGGGCCTCAGGCACAAGCAAAGATAAGCCAGGTGGGATCATGGCAAAGAGGGCTGCGCAGGAGGTGAAGTCAGTGAAAAAGAAGAAAAAGAAGAAGACAGCTGTCCTCACCGAGTTGAAGAAGGCAACCACCGGGAAGAAGAGGAAGAAGCATGAATCTGATGACTCTGACAGCAGCTACAGCGATGAAGGAGAGGATGGTGATGAAGAAGGAGAGGATGTCAGTGGTGGCTGGCAATCCAAGCGAAAGAAGTTCAAGAAGATCGCAGAGAGGCACCCGGGCAGGTTGATGGTTCAGACCTTGGAAGCCATGCATGAGCAGCTCGGCATGACCTACGGGGACATTGAAAGTGAAGAACAAGCCATGAGCCCCATCATCACCCGCTATCTCCTCTCAGTTGTTGTGCCAACCCTGGGGTTGAAGAATATCCCCCCAGGGAAGTTGCGTGAGATGAGGACCATTGCCATGGCAGTGGACATGCTCTTGAAGGGCCGCAGTGATTCGACAGGAGATATCCTGTTGCAGAGGTTCATGTCGATCGCCATGAGTGTGAGGGATGGAAGCGATCAATTTGGTCCGCAGATTGAGCTCTTGCCGCAAGGAGAAGAAGACATCGCCATCACGTTCTCCCCTGAGGCGCATCAAGACAGAACCCCAGGGGAAAGCCACACGACGTGCTCACTTCGCCGACGAAAAAGGCGGGGCGGTGGAGAAGACGATGCCGAATCAAGGAGCTATGGCGAAGGCCAGAGCAGCTACTCCACGGCAAGAAGGAGAGTCACGAACAAAGTGGAAAGATAGGGTCTTCAAGGCCCTCCGGAACAGCAGTTGAGTGCTGGAAGCGCTGGTGGCGGCCAGTGCAATGCGAAGGGTTCAGTTGACAGAAGCTGTCAGGATCCCCGTTTCTTCATTGACTCCGATGCCTGTTGTAAAGACCCGGGTGTCGTGATTTTTAAAGAAGTTTGGGAGCTGAGCTGCTTCTCATGTGGGTGCATGGACGAATTTACACGTCGTATTGAGACAATGTTTGACAGGTTTCACCGCAAGAATTGTTTGCAGTTAGGCATTGCGTTGTTGCAGCTCCTATGTTCGATGCCGCGGTGGCAAGGCAGAATAGATTCATCTACGTCAAGCCGGCGACCAAGGGATGTTTTGCCTTTACCCATGTCGCCCATGGGGTCTGCGCTCAAGCTTTTGAAGGGTTGCCATGTCACAATGGAGGGGTTCCTTATTTTTCGTGAGGATGGATTCCAATCACCCCCAAAGCAACAACGAAGAAAAGCTATTCATCGTGGGTGCCTACAAGTATGGCGACTCATCTTTACGACAATTATTCATGGGCAATTTTTTGGGGTGGCAGGGGCCGTTGTATAAAGACGGTGTGACCACGGACCTCCAAAAGGAAGCAATTCAATACATCGAGAGGGTTTGCGTTCACTTTTGTAATGACCCAGTAAAGACCTTCGAGCCAGTGGAATTTGATACGCTGGTGCGGACGAAGGGGATCGACTACACAGGGGAAGAAGTAGCTAGACCCTTGCCCGTTTGCCTAGGCGAGATACTACCTGGGTTGCTAGATGCGGTGGTGGCCGGACAGCTGGAGGCGTGGAAGACCCTACGCAGTGTTTGCTGCCCAGGGAGCGATGGCCGAAACCCTTACCACGGGCATCAATGAATGTGAAAAGAGAAGACTGGGTTGAACTTGCAGTAACGTGATTGACCGAAACATCTTAGTTCCTATAGAGTATGATGAGATCTTCAGAATGATGAAGGGCGCATTCTTAGTGGAATGTTTGCAGTTGAGAAGAAAGGACCTCCAGCAGAAGGTCAGTGCCGGCTGACTAGGCTGATTACGAAGTTCGCCCCAACGAATGCCGTGCAAAAGCTAATGGCCTCAGCTAGCCATTGGGCTAGTGTCCAGTTGCCAGACGGCATCAAAAGGGGCCTTCTATGGCTGGGCATTGCCTCGTGCTTGGCGAGGGCTAATGGCTTTTAAACGGCCGATTCCTGGGGCTGCCATTGATCAACCAGGGAAAGAAGAAATTTGGCTCGCGTCAAAAGTCATTCCAATGGGATGGATCAATTCTGTCTCTCTGTTTCAACATCTGCACCGTCGACTAGGCCTGCAACCACAACCCCTAGGTTCCCACGCAGTGGTACTCAGGAACCAGGGGGACGGCTGTCATACTATTTGGATGACTTTGACTGTCCTGAAATCCTTCCACTCAGCATGTGGAAGGAGATGAAAAACACCATGCACGCATGCGACAGCGTGCTGCGTATCAGTGGGCAGGCGTGAAGATCTCCGAAGGCAAGGCCCATATGCGCAAAAAGCTGGAATGTGGCTACTTCATGTTTTGGGCCTTGAGACAAAGACGAGTCAAACCCAAAGTGCTTTTGATGATCCTGGGGCGCCTTGTGAGATGCTTTGAATTTCGCCGCCCACTCATGTCCTTGTTGAACCACGCATGGCCCTTCCAAATACCACTACCGCTGAGCCATCAATGCATTGAGGAGTTGATTCGATCTATGTGTGTCCTCCCCTTAGCAGTTACCAACCTCCGTACACCAGTGAGCGGGCTGGTGACTTGTTCGGACGCATCGGAATTGGGAGGTGGAGTTTGCGGAAGTGCTGGTTTGACGCAACAAGGATATTCGCTTCTAGAGCGCATGGAGGCACAGCAAGGTGAGAGAGAACAAATAAATTTTAGACCTGCTGGGTGTTGTGAAACCAAGGGCGATAAGACTGGACCTCGAATACTCGCTGTTTCCTTATTTGATGGTATTGGGGCCATGGTGGTGGCTCTTGCAAGGTTGAGCTGCTGTATCATTGGGTACGCTTCTTCAGAAATTGACCCCCGGCGCAAGCGTCTGACAAGAACCCGGTGGCCAGGCGTGATTGAACTAGGTGATGTGACAAAGATCAATCAGAAAATGATACAGCATCTAAAAGAAGCGGTTGGGTACAAGATTGACTTTGTAGTTGTAGGTGCAGGGAGCCCCTGTCAGGATCTGAGTAAACTGAATGCTACAAGAAAAGGTTTAGCTGGAGAAAAGTCGAGATTGTTCTATGAGGTGCCAAGAGTCATCCAGTTGATCAAGGAAGAGTTCAACGTACCGGTGGAGAGTTTTGTTGAGAACGTAGCTAGCGTGTGAGCGAAGAGTCAGCAATGAGTTCACCAAAGTCCTGGGGGTGTTCACCTTTGTTGAGTGATGCAAAATGGTTCACACACTGCAGAAGACCCCGTTTGTTTTGGGCCATGGGGCATATACAAAAAAAGCCAGGTGAGGCACTTGTGGAAAAAGCAGCCTGGCAGGAGTGGCAGTTTCCCATCTGTAGACAGGAGGCAACACTTTGGCTAGACAAGAACTGCCGGTGGCTGGCCGGTGAGGATTCGGAGCAGACGAATTGGCTGCCAACATTTACAAGGCCACAGCGGCGCAAGCGCTCTCCACACAAACCTGCAGGACTAAGGGAGGCTAGTCGGGAAGCGTTTGAACGCTGGAGAAAAGACAACTTCTACCTGCAGGTGTACAAATATGAAGATCAGAATATGATCAAGGAGGCCAGCGGCCAGTTTAGATTAGTGAAGCTTACTGAGAAAGAGCTGCTCATGGGGTTCGACACTGGCTATATCTCTGAAAGCTTTGGGCCAAAAACTACCTCAGCTGAACGTGAACTGATTGGCGAACAAATGATAGGGAACACCTTCTGCGTCTACTCCATCATGATGCTGCTACATGAGCTGCTGCAGAAGTATGGTGACAAGTCCCCACAGATCCCTCACCAACTTGTCAACCTGCGGGGGGACTCTTTGGGAGGATGGACTGAGTTTCCAAAATTCGTGTCGGGGACTCATGACGACATGTCGGTCCGAAAACTAGTGTCACGCTTCATCCGCATTGGGGAACGTGGGGGACTGACGTCCGACTTGATTTCAATGCTCCCTACCGGATGAAAGCATGGCCTAGAGCGGGTATTCAGTCATCACTTTTTCAATGGTCTATTATTCATGGTTGTAAGTGGCGGGCCCCAGCCCAATATTAACGCTTTAGAGCTTCAGGCTGTGGTGAACGCAGTCAAGTTTGATCGATTCTCAAGTCGTCGCAGCCATTTTGGCCAAAGGGAGAAGCAGCAGCTTCCGGCTTCAGCTTGCTCTAGGCAAGTATGCAGTGCTGGTGGTAGCCAGTGGCCTTGTTGTGACCCTTGCATATGTTCACACGAGGGATAATCCCTCAGATATCCCTAGCAGTGGGGCGAAAGCCCAACCTTTCGGAGAAAGAAATCCGTCGACGTGACCGCACACACAAAACTCTGAAAGGTAAGATGGTGTCGGCTGGGATGCATGAGAGGTACCTCAAGAGTGCCTTGCAGTTCATTAGATTTACAGTCGAGTTCAGGTACGTTGTTGCTGCCTGGGATGATTTGGATGAAGTTGTATCAGAGTGGTTGGAACATATTTTTCACGACGGTGAACATAAAACACTGGCGAGTGATGGGCTCGCGTGCAATACTTTCTGCCTCAGGCAATCGGACGCCTGAAGCATTCATGGAAGCTAGTCAAAGTATGGCAAAAATTGGAGCCGCCGCGAAGGGTCCTTCCACTCAGTCCTTTGATGGTGCGTGCATTTGCAGGTGTTTGCCTGCGGCTTGATCACTACTCTGAAGCCACTGCACTGCTGGCAGGCTTTGATACTATGCTCAGGAGTGCAAAGCTTTACAGGTTGAAAAAGAAAGATGTGACTTTTTATGATATTCGAGCTGTCCTGTCTCTTGGGTACACCAAAACAGGAAAGCGGGCAAATGCCACTGACATGGTGGTAGTGGAAAGCAGCCTCTCCGTTTGCACTTTGAGAAAGGCATGTTCATTGAAAGCTTCTGACCACATTTTGTGGCGCAGTGAACGTTTCTTCCGAACCTTGTTCAATGCTCTCGTTGACATGTTTGACCTAGAAGGTCTGATTACTGTCTACTCACTCAGGCGTGGGGGCGCTTCTTGTGACTTCTTGCAATTTCAAAGCTTGGGGAGAACCTTACTCCGAGGACGTTGGGCCTCTACATCGTCGGCCAGGGTCTATCACAGGACGCAGCTGCGATGGTTGCAGATCTACAGTTGAGTTCCCGGCAGAGGAACATGGCTTTGGCAGCCTCTGATGTTCTCCGTACCGAGCTTGATGATAGAGTGGAAGGTTGAAATCATTTCAACATGCTTCACCTGTCAAGGGCTGTCACTTAAGTTGGAAGAATTCCAACA